AAGTTTAATTTATACAAGAGAAAAAAGGGTAAAAAAAAAAAGGGGGGGGGTTGGCTCTAAAAGTGGGCGTGGTCAGTCAAAAAGTGGGCGTGGCCACGGTGCTAAAAGTTGGAGGGGGTGTGGTTTGATTTTAGCCACGCCCTTTGGTTGTTTTGGGGCGAAATTTAATTAATTCCAGAGAAGAAAGGGTTAAAAAAAGGGGAGTTGCCTCTAAAAGTGGGCGTGGTCAGTCAAAAAGTGGGCGTGGCCAGGGTGCTAAAAGTTGAAGGGGGTGTGGTTTGATTTTAGCCACGCCCTTTGGTGGTTTTGGGGCGAAATTTAATTAATTCCAGAGAAGAAAGGGTTAAAAAAAAGAGGGGGAGTTGCCTCTTAAAGTGGGCGTGGTCAGTCAAAAAGTGGGCGTGGCCAGGGTGCTAAAAGTTGGAGGGGGTGTGGTTTGATTTTAGCCACGCCCTTTGGTTGTTTTGGGGCGAAATTTAATTAATTCCAGAGAAGAAAGGGTTAAAAAAAAAAAGGGGGGGGTTGGCTCTAAAAGTGGGCGTGGTCACCCCAAAAGTGGGCGTGGTCACAGGCTGGAAATGGAAACTGGATGGGGTTTTTTTTTAGCCACGCCCCATGGCTGTTTTGGGGAAAATTTAATTAATTCCAGAGAAGAAAGGGTTAAAAAAAAAAAGGGGGGGGTTGGCTCTAAAAGTGGGCGTGGTCACCCCAAAAGTGGGCGTGGTCACAGGCTGGAAATGGAAACTGGATGGGGTTTTTTTTTAGCCACGCCCCATGGCTGTTTTGGGGAAAATTTAATTAATTCCAGAGAAGAAAGGGTTAAAAAAGGGGAGTTGCCTCTAAAAGTGGGCGTGGTCACCCCAAAAGTGGGCGTGGTCACAGGCTGGAAATGGAAACTGGATGGGGTTTTTTTTTAGCCACGCCCCATGGCTGTTTTGGGTAAAATTTAATTAATTCCAGAGAGGAAAGGGTTAAAAAAAGGGGGAATTGCTTCTAAAGGTGGGTGTGGTCACCCCAAAGGTGGGCGTGGCCACAGGATTCAAATGAGAGCGGGTGGGGTTTAGATTTAGCCACTCCCCTTGTTTTTTTGGGGTGAAATTTAATTAATTCCAGAGAGGAAGGGATTAAAAAAGAACGAAATCAACTCCTAATGTGGGCGTGGTCAGTCAAAAAGTGGGCGTGGCCAGGGTACTAAAAGTTGGAGGGGGTGGGGTTTGATTTTAGCCACACCCTGTAGCTGGTTTTGGGTAAAATTTAATTAATTCCGGGGCAAAAAGGGTTAAAAAAAGGGAATCGCTGATAAAAGTGGGCGTGGCCACCCAAAAGTGGGCGTGGCCACCCCAAAAGTGGGTGTGGCCACGGGATGCAAATGAGAGTGGGTGGGGTTTTTTAGCCACGCCCCATGGCTGGTTTTGGGTAAAATTTAATTAATTCCAGAGAAGAAAGGGTTAAAAAAAAAGGGGGGGGAGTTGCCTCTAAAAGTGGGCGTGGTCAGCCCAAAAGTGGGCGTGGTCACAGGATGCAAATGAGAGTGGGTGGGGTTTATATTTAGCCACACCCTTTGTTTATTTTGGGGTGAAATTTAATTAATTCCAGAGAGGAAAAGGTTAAGTGAATTGTGGGCGTGACCTTGCTAATTAGAGGGCGGGGCTTCCCATTTTTGTGGGCGTGGCTTCCCTTTTGTGGGCGGGACTTGAACACAACGCCTCAAATGGGGGTGTGGTGGGTGGGCGTGGCTTA